CCAGTTGCTGCCACAGTCAAGTATCTAACACAGTTGTGGCTTATCTGAAGGGTAGGGACTGGAAGAGGCAATTTGAACTAGAAGATAAGCATTCCTTTCCCTGATTTACGCAGGAAGTTAATTAGTTTTGTTTTTCCTTGGACCTTGTCTTGTATTTGCAGTGAATTCCAGGTATGAGCATTTTGCCTCTGTTTCCTGTGCTTTTGTTAAAGGACTCTAGCTATTTATAATAGCAGCAAATGCCTAAATTACTTTATGGAGCTAAAATTATTTTTTTGTTTGTCTGCGAGTTTAAATCTAATTGGTACCAAATTACCAAGCTTTTCTTAAATTCCCTTTTAAAGAGCAAATAAAGGGACTGCACTGATGGGTGCCATTCCTGTAGGGCTGTGATATAACTGCTGACAGCTTCATTTCATGGTTTCTGAACCAAGCTGTCTCAAACGTGGAAACTAAGGTACATGGTTTTCCTGCAAGACATTTTCTTATTTGTAAATGATAATGAGGTGTATGCTTATCTTGCCACATCCTTAAAAAAAACAGTTGCTTTTCATGTTTAAAAGCAGTTGCTAAGTAGTGGAGAAAATTAGGGTGGAGATTAATAATGCAGTTAGAGAACAGAGTTATATAGGAAAAGAATTGTAGGAATTAGGGAATTAGCTTCCTTTTTAATGGATGCTGCGGGCTTATTTTGTGTTTGACTAAATCTTTGTCTGAGATTTGCCTTCGCTCCTGTCTCTTTTAAGAGGCCACCATGGATCTTTAAATGTGCAGCAGTTTCTTGTCTCTTAACAAAGGCTTTTAAAGGAGAGTTGGTTCCTGAACATGACGTGTGTCAGCGTGCTAGGTATTCAACACCCTTGCCAATTGTAAATCCTAACCTCGAGGTAAGGCAACATAATCATTGTACAGCTGCTAGTACTGTCTTGGGCAAAGAATTGTTCTTTCTTCTGCCCTCTTTGGTTTTGTAGTGAGGTGATTCAAACTCCTCAGCTGGGATCCACATCACAGCCTGGGTCAGTAACATCCCATTAGGCAAAGTATATGTAGAAAGTGATTTCCACTTCTTTCCCTTTCTCCTTTATGTGAGAATAACATTGTTTATTACATATAAATCACTTTTTTTTTAGTCCAGAATTCCTCAACACACTGATTTTTTTTTAAAGTTTTAATTTTGATGATGCTTCATTAATATTTGGCACTCTTTAAGACACATTTTGTCTTGCAAAGCAAATGCTTAGATATAAAAATCCATCCATTTGCTGAACAGAAACAGCATAAGGCACCATACGGAGCTTTTGATTGGTGTTATTTTAAACATCCTTACAGTCTTTGCATGGACGTAGTGATTTGCATCTTATCTGAGAACCCTTCCCAGTCAACAGCATGGAATTCCGTTTATCCAGCTTGGCAAGATAAAGGTCTGGGTTGACGCTGCAAGGATTTAGGCTGATCCCGCCGGGCGGTTGCAGTAGTCATGCGAGGAGGAGCCTTCAACCACTCCTTCCTGTGCCCTTTCATCTCTGGGGTTTGGAATTGCTACATGCTTTCCCCTTGAATCACTTCGTTAGTTTACCTTGAACAATTTCCTCTTAAAATACAAATCCACGTAGGATTATTGGTAGTTTACTCAGTTTTTAAATGAGATTGCAGTCCATGAAACAGGCAAGATTGGTTGGTTGGTTTCACGTAATGAGCTTGCATCCTACTTTTTTCCCCAGGCTTTTAAACTTTTCCTTTTTTTTTTTTTTTTTTTTTTTTTCTCCTAATCTGTTTACTTGCTTGCAATTTAATTTTCCAGGCTCTGTGGGTTACAGATTTATCCAGGGGAATGGTACTTTCTTGGTGGTATAATCAAATAGCTTCATTAGACATCCTTGGCAAAGAAGTATTTTGTGATGTGCTTCTCTAAAATGGTGTCCTAATGGTTTGGGCATCCTTCTAAGTGGTTATTTCCTCCTTTATTGAGTGGTTCTTTCCTCCTTTCAGTAATTTCAGCACCACCTTGGTAGTGGTAACCTGCACAGGTTGTTGCTTGAGAGTCAAGCTTATTTTTGTTACTGCAATGAAGTGCACTATTATTTAAGTTTTTTGTAATTCTTTTGTTCTTTTTTGAACATACATCCTTATTTAAGTTTCTTTAAAAAGCAGCCCTGATTCCACGTTATACTGCAGCGTATGTGCTGCAGTGATGGAATGCCCAGTCATTTCCCTCAATGTCATGTCTAACAGTTAATCTGAGGTCCATTTTGTCACCTTTTCAGCCTTCTATTTTAAGGTGTCCTGGAGGGTGACAGTTTTCTCCAAGGCAAGTGAACATCTTTAACCTTTTCTCGCTGTGACAAATTCTCTATGGCAGATGTTGGCTCAGTCTGTCGGGTGGTGTCTTCAGCAAAGCACGGCTTGGTCGTGGGTCTTAATCAACCTGATGTTCTGTTTAATCTTTAAGCAAAATATTCACTTATTAGTGAAAAATACCCTTTTGCCTTGGTGTGTGCAGTGCATGATTTACAACCAGACAGGGGAAAAAAAATGCAGCGAATGCAATACCTGGTACTCTGTTGTAGTTAAGAACTTCATGCTGCTCTTATGTTCAAGTCCTTTGGTGGATGATAGCAGCTTCATTACAGGATAATGGAAAATAGTCTTTAATGCAGGAAGGTTTGCATCATTTTGTCCTAAAGAATAGCCTGAGTTAGTATAGAGAAGTCAAGACTTAATGTTTTCTTTACTCCTGTGAAGTGAAGTTGGTGGCCGTGGGGGTTAAACACTGAAGATGCTGCAGAATGCTGTGGCCTGAATTCAAAGATACATTTTCTGGCTAAATTTCTGCCTTCTAACTGTGCATTTAAGAAAAAAAAATATTATTTGATTCATCTCTTGTGTGACTAGTCACATAAGATTTCAGAATATTGTTACAAAATGGAAAGACTTGTAGTTTAGTGTCAGCACAGTTCTATTCCAGTGGAGAAAATCAGCTCTCTAAAACATCTACCAAGTTCATCTCCCTCTGAAAATAATAATAATAATAATAAAATAATAATAATAATAAACGCTTTTGTGGTTGAAGGAGAACATGTTGCATCTCCAGGCTGGTGTTTCTCTTAATGACTGGTCATAAGAGATGTGGTTGGTAGCTCTGGGCGCATCAAATAAAGACGATATTAGACGAACCTCTTGGGTAAACAGTTACAGAGCAGAATTCCTCAGCTCAAGAGCGCTGAAGCCAAACGTTTCTTGGCTTTCCAGCCGCATTCCTTTTTCAGTATGTGCTCAGAATAACTTGGGACTTTTTGGAACATAAGTGGGACAAACTTTTGAAAGTAGACATGAAGATGTGTGCTCAGTTTAGGTATTCAGCTGCAGCTGTTGAAATGCGTTAGGTTTTGTTTGACTTACTGTATGTTAGTGGGCTGTAGTTTTTTTCTGATTCAAATTATCCAAGAAGCTCCTCTTGCTTAAATAAAAACAAATGCTCTTCATTAAGCCCCTTGTTCATTCTGAGTATTGTGTTTGCCTGGGGAGAGGAGAAAAGTTATTGTAGAAGCTTGTACTAAAGTGTAAATGCATTTTAATGCCTCGTCTGTGCGGTGATGACAAGCAGCTGCATCCAGCGCTTCTTGGTTACATGGCTTTATTCTTTCTATGTCAAGGCTTCCTCAGTTCATATAAAACACAGTTTCTGGCAATGTATGTCATGTTGAACCAGTCTGCTCTCTGGTTTACAGGGCAGAAGTGCTGAATAAAAGATGAAGGGTGAGGAAAGCTAATCTGCCAGCCGTGTACTGGCTCCTGTGAGTAGGACAGGCTGAGAACACGCTCCATGGGGCAGATCCAGGCATCTTCTCTGACAGCAGCAACGTGAACAGTTGCTGTAAGGTGACTTAAAGCTTCATGCCTTAAACGTGCTTGCTTTTCCATCAGAATAAGTGAGATAAAGCTTCACTGACACTTACTGGACAAGGACATGCACGCTTGTGCTATTGCTGCAGCATAACTCATGTACTTTTATTTAAATAACATTGCTGAGGGTACTATAAATTTTAGCCTGAGGTCGGTTCTGAAGAAATAATGTCTGTTTCAAAGCAAGAATCAGCATGGGCAGTACAAAATTTTTCTTTAAATTGGCTGAAATTTGTAGCTTTCAATATTTTTTTTTGAAGGAAGTAGGCTCCAGAGTGAACAGTAGTTCTTAATGTTCACATGTTACAAGGTAGGAACACATTCATTTAAATAGTTGGCCACATTCATTTAAATAGTTGGCAGAATTCTTAAAACTGTTATACATACAACAGGCCATGATTTTCACTACTATAACACAGAATGTCTCATTTTAACCACACTTTGCCCCAGATTTCTGCTTTGGCCCTTTGGGCCTTTGCAGTGTGCTTCACTGATGTGCTGGGGGTGAGGAGCTTGGGCTGCTTTTTGAGCGTGTTCCCCGATTGTGTGTGCACGTCACTTCTTCCAGACCCCGAACGCCACGTGCCAGCTGCCGGGACAATCTGCTATTGTTCATCTGCTGAAAAGTTTTACGTAACTTTCCCAACATAAAGAAGGCAGTTGGCGCTTGAGCAAAAAGACAGTTTCTTTTCTTTTCTTCTTGCAAATCTTCATTAATGAAGCTGGCGAAGGATTGAAGAAAAATAACTGTGTACTCAGGGCTGGATTTTGACAGCGAGGTTTAAGGTTTTATGAGTGTCTGAGACTTGTTCCCTAAAAACTCAAGTTTTCCGGCTCAGCAATGCGTACTTCATTGTCGGAGAGCGCTCATGAGTCGATGCTATCACTGAATGTCCTGGAGTGCCTTTCTGTTACTGTTGTTATGCAATGGACTTTTTGTTGTGACAGGACAAAGACTTATTGATAAATTGCCTATAAAAAGTGCCTTTGGAATATTACTGCATTGTCAGTTAAGTCCCTATGTACTTACAATTATGTCTTTCCTTGCAACACCTGCGATGTGATAAAGACTTATAGCTCTGGTTGCCTAATTGCAGAACTGCACAGGGACACGAGTGTCTAACAGAGGTGCTGTGTTCTCTTTTGCAGGCTGGCAGCGATGGTGAGAGCATAGGAAACTGCCCCTTTTCGCAGAGGCTCTTCATGATCCTTTGGCTGAAGGGAGTGGTATTTAGTGTCACCACAGTTGACCTGAAGAGGTAAGGAATCTTTGTCTCTTTTTTTCTTCTGAGAAGCAAAAGTGCAATGTTTGGTGTTTCCGGGGTTTCTAGATCTTGCATGATTTATTTTGTGAAGTTTCAGAATACCAGGAGGAGGCCACCTTTACATAAATGCCGTCTTCGTTGATGGCTACTTGTAAATGTAACCGAAGAGACTTTGTTCTCTCAGGAATCTTGATTTCCTAACTCTGGGTGTACTCTATTAAAAGTGGAAATGTTAAATTCAGCAGAGCCCTTGTATTTGTTTTCAGTATGAAGTAATGTTTTCACACCACTGGTGCCCTGTTAGTCACTTAACTCCCTGGAGAAAGGGGAAACTGTTCGTGCTTCCAAGCCTTATTTTCAGAAATAAAGCCAATAGAAATATACAGTGTTCTTCAAAGAATAAAGCTAGTAAAATGTGTAAGGAAGAAATTACATTTGCTAGACTTAACCCCCTTTTGTAACTTCTCTGCAAGAGAAGTATGTTTTCCCTTTTTTTCTTTAAGAAAGAACCTCGCTGCCCCTCATCCCTTTTGACTTGGACAATACTGTTTTTCAGCCGACAGATGTTACCTAATTCCGTGCTGCTTACTTCAATGCTGGCAACTACTGTATATATTTACATGAGTAATATGGCCGAGGCAGAGGGCTCAAAAGCAGAGGGGAAGAAAGCAGCCTTTGTGCAGCGTGCATTTGGAGCAGCTTTAGGCTTTTCTCTGGCCTCTGTGGGATTTTCCTGCAAATATAATTGTTGCTGCCACACAAACCATGTGCATCCTCCACCTAGCACTGCCTGTGGTTTGGAGCTTGTGCTTAAGTAGTGCTTGCAGTTGTGGACTTTTTACTTTTAATGTTGACACACACAACCTACTGCTGCCCTCTCGGAGGCTGGGCAAGTAGGAAAGGTAGAAGGAACTGTATTTTATTTGGAAGTGTTAGAACTGATGAACCATTCTAAGAAATACCATAAAAATGCCAAGGGTTCCTGTTGAATTGGCCTTCCTTTTGTTCTTTTAACAACTTGGAGCTTTTTTTCTTGTGCCTAATATAGAAAAGACACAAATACACCAGAAAACTGGGCTCTAGTGTTTTATGCATCCAAATTTATTTTGCTAGCCAAAAAACTGTGGGTTTACTTGCAAAGCATGCTCCTGCCTCGTAGACGGTGCAATTTCTCTACAACAGAAAGGCAAATTTTGGCTGGTTTTGAGACTCGAAAGGTCATGGCTGGGTACAAAAGTTCACAAGTAACTTGGGACACATGGAAAAACTGAATTTAACTTCATTGCCTTTCTATGACATATTTTTCCTTTCCGTAATTGCATTAAACATAGTAATACGCTAACAAAAGAACATTTAGCAGATCTAAAGTCTACTTTTTATAACTTTGAACACAAAAATGTGCACAGAAAAACTAAGTGGGACACATCGCCCTTTCAAATCAGTCGTGCCATTCTGGCTTGTGTGCAGGCAGACAGAGACTTTATTCTTTGCCGCTCGCAGCAGCGTTTTGGCGTGCAGAGCTTGGACGTGCTCTGGTGGCTGGGGCAGGTTTGTGGCACACGAACCCTTTGGTAGCCTTGGAACAACGTTCGAGGCCAGCTTGGGTTCAGCTGGGTTTGGAAATCCAATTTTGAACGTTTGATCGTGTGGTTTAACAATTACGTTGAAGGACAAAGACTAAATACAGGGCTTGGTGAGTATTAAATACTGCCCAGAAGTGAATGTATCTTCAATTTAGGGCTAGGGACAGGGCGCTTTTTCCCTGCTGGCATTTTTTCTTCACATTATTCTCCAAACCCTCATAGCAGTATTAATGTAACTTATGTATCATTGCAGAGCATGTTGCATCTGGGGGTGGCTTTTGTGTGATCTTCAAGAGACTGTTTGGACTCTAATTGCTCTTCTGCTTTGTGGCAGAGCCATGGGGTGTTTAGAGCTCAACTCTGATGTTAAGCAGTTTCCCTGTTTTAATTAACCAGCAGTAGCCAGGTATTTCATGTGGTCCTACCACCAAATACACAATAAATATAGGGACGGTTATGACACAGACATGACCAGCTCATGGAAGTGTTTTGAGTGGTTGCAGAAGGGAGGGCTTTGTTTTAAAAGTTTTTTTCTTCTGTACTGCCCCGTTTTACCCCTGAAGTAAACTTCCCTATAGGGATTATTTTTTATTTCTTTATTGCCTTCTCGTTTGAACTGACACCCTTGGCCTTTTAAGGATATCCCAGTGCACTCGTGGGGCTCTGGGGACTGGGGCTTGTGCGTGAGGAGCCAGGGATTGTTCACGATCTACTGACAAGGGAGGCAAACTGGAAGTGAAACCCTGTGTCATGTCCGAGCTTTGGCTGTGGGATGTTAATCTCTAAAATTATTATTTATGACAGATGCAGGTGACCCAACTGGCGTGACCAGAGGGGTTAATAGAAGAGCTCTGGTTCTTTGGGAAACTCTTCGGATATTTCATTAAATTCTCTGTTTCTGAAATGAAATCTACCCTTTGACTGCATCGCTGCAAATCCGGTGGTCTTGCCTCCTCGGTTTGTTTGTAAAATAACATTCCTAAAGAGGAATTTTATCCTTCCGACAGGCAAAACTGGAAGAGAGCCACAATGACTTCCTGTAATTGTTGTGGGTTACAAAGCTGTATTTAAATGAAGTGTTAAGCTGCTTAAAGCATTAACTGATGACAGACTTTAAATCCTAAAAGTAAGAGAGTGATGGCTATTTAGTGAGAAATGACTTTTGGGAAGCTTGAAAATGAATTGAAAAATATCAAATTTATAAAAAATGTTAATATTTGCCATCTGTCACCTTCCTAAAAATATTGTGCTTAATGCTCCCGAGTGAAAAAATGTTTTCTTTAGTTTTACATAGTCATCCAAGTTGTATGTCACAGGTGCTCTTTGGAACTATATACTGATAAGCTGCCATTGTCCCCTCTCTTCCTTGCTTAAATGCTCCATTCGTGATAAGGGAATGGGATTCCAGGAGGGGTTCCTGGTTCTGGAAGTCTGGCTGAATGGGGCCACTGTTCAAGGGTTATTCTCCCGTTTGGGTTTGTTCAAACAGTAGCAAAGGGGCAACTTTATCTTGGCCAACTTCCTACCAGGTCAGATAGCGTCTGTTGTTCCTCGTTGAGTGGAAAAGATCTCAGAAAAATCCGTGCTCGTGTGGCCGAGCTGTCATCCCGGGCTGCAGTCAGTAGCTTTATCGCAGGAAGTTTTAAGTGCTGCTCCTGAAGAAGTGCCAAGTGGTGCCAGAATTTAATTTCTACTCGAATCGAGGCCATTGCACTAGCATGGGGGTAACCCGTATCGTGGTGGTTTAGCAGGGAAAAATCGACTGCAGCTTTTTGGGTGATGCTTAGGATTTTATAGCTTGCAGTAAATCCACTTCTCGTTATTGGATTAACTTCAACTTTTTATCTGGCCCTACTGATGAAACAAATACAAGAGCTTTACGGCGCAGGGACCTGGGGGCATGGCCTAGGTGGGTGCACACGTGTGGCCAGCGTGCAAGGCTCTACATAGACACCTGCAGTGTCATTCCTTGTCACTCTGGCATCAAGACCCAGGTAGAGGAAAGAGGGTTCTCCTCCCCTTGCCAAGCATTCAGCTCTTAGTAAGTAGATTTTCCACCGAAAGAAGTTTTGATCTGGATTATTTTTATGTGTTTTTTTTTTTTGAGCATCTGTCACCTTGCCTAGAAGCAGAGCCCATGCACACTTACTAGGTGTTTTATACATTGTACTCACTTATTTCAAGAGAAACTCTGTGCAAGGGGTTAGGATTATCACTGATCTCAGATTATGCTATTTTTAAACTCCGTACTGTAGACCTTGACAGAGATTGGATGCCCAGAAGAGGGTGATATTTTATTCCCCCTCAACTGCACTATTCAACGTTGAATTATTAGCTTGGGATAAAACCTAAAGGAAGGAATAAGGAGCAGGTTTTAAGCACTTTAACTGTTATTGAGGAAATACTAAAAATGCTATGCTGTAGGGTTTTGAATTTCTGTTCATTTGAAATACCACGAAGAGACAAACCTCAGGCCAGGGTCATGGAGGTCCTATGCTTACTTTTGTATTGGTTTGTATTTCCATGCAGAAAACCAGCAGACCTTCAAAATCTGGCTCCAGGCACTCATCCTCCCTTTATAACATTCAACGGGGAAGTGAAAACAGATGTGAACAAGATTGAAGAGTTCCTGGAAGATGTTTTGTGTCCACCCAAGTAAGTGTTAAGATGATAATAATTTGGTTATTTGCTAACAGTTTCATTCGGTAGTCTTACCTTAGATTAGATGGTGTGTTCAGAGAGAGGTTTCCTGCATTGCTTAGGAAGTTCTTCAGTGTAGCCATTCTTCTAGAAATAAGCTGGTATTTCAGTGTTGAAGAACTGGTCGTATTTCTGTTCTGTCCAGAAGTATCACAGAACTTCATGTTTCATGTTAAATATTTCCCAGTATTCCTCGTGTAGCTTTCTATAAGTAGATGGACAGCTGCTAATTGTACAAAACTGGTGATTGCTAAATGCAAATTGGAAGTAAGCTTTTAAAAATACAGCTCTTTCACACGAGGCGTAATGATGTGCCCTGGCGATTCAGTCTTTAGGGTTTGGAAGTTATGATGGGAAATGTTGAACAGTGTTTGATATAATTAGACCACACAGTGCAAGCGTGGGATGTGCTCGAGTGTTCCCTGAACTCTTGGCTTCCTTCTCCCTCAACTGGCAGGCAGTGGCAAAATTGAGGCACTGCCTCTAGCAAACTGAACTGCTTTTGTCTTTTCAGCATGGAGAAACATTACTTTTTCATTATAGGATTTGGGATCCATGATCTTTTAATTTAAATAAGCAAAACAGCTCCTGTGAACAGAACAAACCTATCAGACAGTTGTGTGTTTGGTCCCTAACTGTGTTCTTGTCCCCAGGACGGGGCTCTGGCCTTTGGCAGCTCTCTGTGCTGCAGGGAGGGAGGGAGCTGCTCTAGCCATGGCCTGTTTCAAAGACTGTGCTTGGACTATATGCCTGATTTGGAAAGAAGAAATGTGCTTTGTTACTCCCTGAAAAATGATTCTAAAAGTGCTGGGTTTAAAAATCTTTAACTCGGAGAGGATGTGTGATACTGCCTGTGAGATGTCAATCTTCCAAAGTAATCTGAAAGTTTAAAAAGTTAATGAATTAACTTTTTTTTTTTTTTCATGCTAACAAATATGTGATGATCATTGTTCTCCCAAATGTACTGAAGATTTAATCTTTTCTACTTTAGGTACCTAAAGCTTTCACCAAAGCATCCAGAATCTAACACTGCTGGAATGGATATATTTGCCAAATTTTCTGCATTTATCAAAAATTCTAGACCAGAGGCTAATGAAGGTAGGTTATTTGGGGCCAAGTGTTTCATTGTCTGGTGTGGTCAATAGCGGTCTTGCATGCTGCCTTTAGAGCTGCTCCTTGCATTTTGCTGCCTTTCTTGCCTGCTCCTATTTGCCCTCTCAAGGCTAGGGCAGGATATGATGGTATGTTCAGACAATATTGTTACTTAAAGTAACTTCAAGGGAAAGTCCTCAAGAAGCTGTTCTATCGAGAAAAAAATCTGCAGATCTCTTTTGTAATACATCAAACAGTCATCTTGCAGTTTTAATGGCATGGACAAATATTCTGAAGAACTCCTGAGGATTGTGTGTACAGTAAAAAAACAGCACTATTTATCCTGTCTTCCTCTTTTGTTTTGGAACCAGCTAGTGGTAATAACTGCTTCTGAGCAGTTTAATGCAACTCTGCACCATGAAGATTCACTGTTCTGTAAGTGCTGTCACTGTTCATCTGATGATTAACTCTGACCCACTCATTGCTGCAGCACTTGAGGGTTGTAAATGTGCAAAAAAGCAAACATCATGGCAGATCGTGGGGCTTGTATTGTCTAGATCAAAGTCTTCCTTTATGGGAACACGTAGCTTTTAATCCTTTGGAGCAATAATAGGATGCAAGAATTATTAGTATGCCCTGACAGAGCAGTCATAAGATTCCAGCGACATGCTGGGAATGCCGCTCAGTCATTCCTGAATTCCGGCCCCTTAACTCCAGGGAATGGGAATGCGTTTTGAGAGGCTACCTTGGAAGAAATGCAGAGCAAGGCTTGTGGGTTTTCTCTGCAAGTTGCTCACCTTCATCTTCAGTATTTTAGTCGCATACGTTGAAATACTCATGTGTAAATCTGTTAGCTGTGGGGAACGACTTCAGTTTTCTCGGCTATTGGACGCCTGGGATATTTTTATCCCTCCTTTTGACAGAAGGTTTCAGTCCTCTGCCTTGGCCTTAATGGATGCATGAGGGTGGATGCATTTCTCAAGAAAGAGGCACGTGTAGAGCCTTAGTGATTTCTGAAGGGAAGCACGGAGGCATTGCTCCAAAATGTTACCTGGAAGTTGTGCAAGACAATGTCCTAACATATTGACAGGGCTTCTCTTTGTAGTCAAACTAGTTTTGCAAATATGCAGTACAGGGACTTTCTGCAGCTCTTGACTGCTGACTTTCCCCACTTTTATTTTTTTTTCACATTTTCCTTTCTGCTATTATAATCTTGCAGTCAGTATTGCGCTTCTGAAAATGCACAGCACTTTATAGTTTAAACAGGCCTTTAGTGCAGGTCACTAATCATGCTTTGAACTCTCCATAGTGGGAGTGGAACCTGATTCGAAGTCCACGCTGGAAGGGCGCTTTCCATCTGCTCCCGGTGTTGGTCTCAGTTTCACCTTCAGTTTTTCCGCGCGGTGCACACACAAAGTCTCATTAATCTAAATCCCTTGTGCAGCGAGTGGATTTTAAGTCATTTAGCACCAATCTTTCACTCTCCAAGCTCCGGAGTCACACAGTGGGAATGCCTTTCCGCAATATTTCAAAGGGAGGAGGCAAAACACTTGCAAATAGTGATATTCTCGCAGAAGTTGTTCCGTTTCGCGGGGTGTGCTGCCCTCTGCCGTTCCCAGCTACCCTCTTCAAGTGCAATCTGCACGTCCACTTGTGCCAGTTGAGCTGAACACGTGACTTAAACAGATTAAACTTAAGTGAATGCAAGCCCTGGGATAGCTTAATTCTCGTTAGTTTAAACCAGTTAGGAGGAGTCTTAAGAAACTGGCATAAGCCACTTTTAAACCCAAAATAAATGCTTGTGGACAGCCCTAGCTTATTTAAACCAGTGCAAGCTCATGTATAAAGCAGCTACTAGTGACCACAAAGGCAGCTCCGGTGGTGGCATTGCCACAAATTGCGCTGGCCTTGGGAATCCTTCCGTGCGTGCTGTGTCCTGGGTGCTCCAGGAGGAAAGTTGTTTCAGGAAGCCTGAGCTAACAGCACTGTGGGGAGGGGGATGATCCTTCTGCTCTGGACTTCCAGGCTACATTTTTATTTTGAAAATACATCCTGGTTTTAACATCTCTTGGAATGGAGTTTCATGAAATTTTTAATGATTTATCTTTATAAACCTTTCTATTTCACTTTGTTTCCATTCTTTGACTCTTTGTTTTAGGGCTGGTGCTTGAGTGTTCTAAATAGTAACCTGCTTTGATACGTGTGTGCATCATGGTTTGACTGTTTTTCTTGTTTTTAAAACTGTTTTTTCCTTTGTAGGCTTAGAACGTGGCCTCTTGAAAACCCTCCAGAAGCTGGATGAGTATCTGAACTCTCCTCTTCCTGATGAGATAGATGAAAATAGCATGGAGGATATTGCAATTTCTACCCGCAAGTTTTTGGATGGCAATGAGATGACATTAGCAGACTGCAACCTGCTACCAAAACTACATATTGTCAAGGTAAATGACTTGTGACATGTTCTGTGTTTTAACACAATAATGAAGTGAAAGGTGCTGATGGTTTATGACACTTGGGTGTCCATCTCGTTTCAACTAGATGCAAATTCCCAGATAATTGTGTCTCTGGTATTAAACATACATTAAATTAGGTGAGAGTTGAGTTCAGGGAAGGTGTGAACAGGCAGGTGAGCAGGATAGCAGGTGGTTCAAGCCAAATCCCGTTTTACTGCACCGGCAAAATGCTCCTGTGGAGCAAGTTGCGACACTTAATGAAGTAGTGGAAGGAAAATGAGTGTCATGTGGATGTTAAGTGGCTGCTTTCTCACCTCTGGAGAGGAGACTGCTCTATTTGTTACAAAGTAAATAGCACGATGCAAAATACAAGGATTGTAAAAAACCAAAACATTGGAATTCTTGAAATAGGTAGTACAGGATAACTACGGGAGTGAAGATTTGCCCATATAACAACAGCTTGGTTGCTTTTCACCGTCTTGCACGATCTCTGTCAGTTCTGTACTGCAGATGGAGCTGTAGATTAAGTTTCTGCCTTCTTGGAGAGGTATTTATCTCCTATGAGGGCAGTAATACAGACTGAGCAAGACAGCCTGCTGCCAGGTCCAGGCACATCCCAGAGGGGCAGATCCTACTGAATGTAGAAGCGGCTGTGAGCTTACACTTTGCAAGGATAATGTAAGAAGAGTGAGCTGGAGTGGACACAGAATGGCAAGTTGGTTTAAGCTGAAGCATATGAATTCATAACCTAATTCTTTTGTTCTAGGTGGTGGCCAAAAAATACCGCGACTTTGAGATCCCCAAGAATATGACGGGGGTTTGGAGATACCTGACGAATGCTTATAGCAGGGATGAATTCACCAATACCTGTCCTGGAGACAAAGAAATTGAAATAGCTTACAGCGATGTAGCCAAGAGACTCACCAAGTAAACAGCACTTGCAAAAGAGATGACTTCTTGCATATCCCATAACAATGCTTCTAACAGACTGCTCTTCTCGTATAAGATAGCAATTTTTTTGCATGAACTTGCAGTTATTCAAAGTTATGGTGGATAGACCAGGTACAGTAATTACCTAAAGTTTGCAGACTTTAATTATAGGCTTGTTTTTCCTTACCTCCTTTCATAGCAAGTCTGAATATCATTAATGCAGTTATGTTAATATTGCATGGGGGTGATGATTCTTCAGTGTGAAGGGTTATCCTGCCCCCGCTACTTTTCTTTGCAAACATTTGGTCCCTGTCTATGAATTGGTCTAGGATCCTCTCTTTCTGTATGGTACAAGGAATATTTATGTATTTTGGAATTTACTGCTTTTCCAGAAGATTTACACAGAATTGTCATATCTGTGGCACATTGAACTGTACCTGCTCATCTATGCCATTTACATGTAGAAGGGAGCTTATTATCAAAAAGAGCCATTTGTAGAATATTTGGCCACAAATTTTTCTTTTCTTGGATTTGAAATCACAGGGATGATTAAGAACGGACACAAACGGGGAAACCTGGATTTGAACAACCTCAGGGAAGTTTGAATCCAGGCCTGAATGCTACAGGGGGGAGCTTGCAGTTCAGGTAGTGCTTAGCTGTGTGTCTTCAAGAGCTTGATGGGCTCAAAAAAAAAAAAAAAAAAAAAAAAACTCCATTTGTCCTGAATTCTGAGTTGCTGCAGATGAATAATGATCGAGATGCCCTTTTACTTCATGAAACCAAAAGAACCAATGCTTGCCCTCTGTTCACCTTAAAAATTACAAGTGGCTTTCTTTTTGGTAGCTAAGAACCTTTGTTTTTGTGTAGTTCTTTCTGGCAATATTTACTTAGAAAAGCCTGTACTGTCATAAATGAAGTATCTGTAAACATTAATGTTCTAGTTGACAGATAGCTACTGTATGTGGTGAGTAGTAGTGCAATGATTAGTTGATGTAAGACCACACACTTACAGCAGGTAGAGGTGGAATCTTTTTAGGAGCTTTTTTTAAGCTATTTTTTTTCCTGAAGAAAGCTAAAGTGACCTTTAAACATAGCATTTGCCTTAACTTATATTATGCATTTTTTTTTTCTGAAAGGAAACTTTTAGTTACTCTTGTAAAGCAACGGTGCATGAGAACCTGGTCCTTTACATTGGATTGGATCTGAATTGCTTTTCTACGTATGTGGATTACAATTTTGCATTATCATAATCATTGCACTACTATACATAATCTTTTTACAGCAACACTGAGGAATAGCACTGCAATTTTTTTAAAAGCAATTTTCAAATATTTCTAAACCAGGGAATAGTTTTCTTGTTTAAAATTAATGATTTTGATGCATGAAATAAACTGCTAGGTTATTTTTTAAAGACCATCATAAGCAACTCCAAAGAATGCTAGACTTATATGCCTATTTTTTTGTAAAGATACTTTTATATTTAACTAATTTTAGAAGCTGGAAAGTGCTATTCCTTGTAGGTTGTTTTTGGAATATTTAACATCCTGCAATAACATGAAAATGCTCACATAAACACTTTTATACACTAATTTTTTTGGTAAGCACTGGCTTTATGAAAAACAGCCCAACTTTTCTAAGCGTCCTACTGCTTTTGCTACTTTATATACCCATGAGGTTAGCTTGACATATAAGAGGTAAAGATCCATATTTGTATACATGGCTTGTGGTGCCTTGTCTTGCCTTCCTAGAAGTAGAATTCCAATATAAAGGCAATTAGCAGTCCTGTTTACGTGGCTTTCGAAGACAACCATAGATACATTTAGACCCTATTATGATTTATTACGAGTATATAGACACAGGGGAAAAAAAAATTCTGCCGAGCAACCTGTTTAGGAAAAGCTTAATTGTAGCCATTCTATAATTCCTGTATTCTAATGTCACGTTCTCATCCTGAATAAAGTTTCTCAGCAGTAATAACCCTCTTTAGAGGTTCAGTCTTTGCTATAACGTGACATCTAGAAAGAGGAATGAATTCCTCTCTCGATGGATAAAAGCAGTTTTACTGAAACAGGGTAAAGAAAAACCTCATTGGTCTGGTGCTTTTTGCCATTGTACAGTCAACCTTTAACAACAGAAAATAGGAAGCATTGTAACTGTGGACCTAATTTTGCTGAATTTCTGCCTCTGTGTTAAACCCTAGAACAGACTGGCTCTTGGAAGTTGGCTGAGGTTGGAGTAATCAGGTCTTGCTCCTTTTAAAAACAAATTAACCATTGTTTACACACGTTTCATAGCCAGACAGCATGTGCATATGGTCATGAAAACGCTTTCGTGCAGTTTTCGAGCGTGCACTGCCTACATATGAATGCACACAAAGACTTACCTTGTTAAGATGCCAGGCTTGGTCTCTTTTATAGATAATATATTCTCTCTATTTTTAGGCAATCTTCAAACAATTGTAATATGTTATACTCAGCACTACGTATTTTAATGATTGTGTCTGAAAGCTTGTAAACAAAGTCGAAGCTCTTGCTGTAACTAATGTATTTCTTATCTCAGTACAGTGAAGTATTGAGTGTCGGAGCCTTTCCCTTATAGGTGTAATTCAAATGAGGACCAGCTTAGCAAATTATAAGGTGGTTACCAGATGATAACTGTTACCTGTCCTATGTGAAAGGATTTGGTGTCTTCCAGGCTTCCTATTGCACAGTTCAGTCGTGTTGTAACAGGGGCCGCCGGCCTCCGCGGAGCCAGGAATCTCATGGAGAGGAGGGAATATTTTCGCCTCGGTAGGTGATCCCTTCAGATCAGAACAGCTAGGGTGGTGTGTAAAGGCTGAGCGTCTGGTGTGGGTAGAGCACTTTCATCTGGCCCCAATCACCAGCACTACATTAATTAAAAAAACCCTTTCATAACTATGTAAATTCTTGAGTTCTGTCAACTTGTTTACAATCTGATCTTTAAATGCATTTTTAATTTCATCAAACAGCAATTAATCTACCCCCTGTTTAAATTTAAAATGATGCTTCTAGCCCCTTCTACACTTGAAAAACAGCAGTTACCCTTTCAAGTAGGCATTCCAGTTTGCGAGCTGGTTGCATGTATTAGCATGCTGAATAACTTACTTTATTCTCAAGCTGAAATATTCAATTCGCATTAAAACAGGTGACTCGTGTGTTTCCTGAACATAAAGGGAAAACCCATCATCTTCACCCTGTTTTTGTGTGGGAGCACAGATATATGCATGATTTTTCCTTAACAAAGCTTTCCTTCTTGAAGAGGCTTCTTGTGTGTACAGAGCTGCCTGTTGAACAGGAGGCATGTGAACTTCTGAAACAATTTCATGCACTCCAGAACTTCCCTATGCATCTTCTGTTCCCCGCTGCTCTGTACAAACGTCCCACACGGACAGTTGCAGCCCTCTAGCTTCAACATTTGTATTTTCCCATAAAATTGGTGTTTTTTCCGCAATGGGCATGTCTAAACTGATTGAGTGAGAGTTGCGTGCAATTCCATGATAAGAAGGGAGATATAATCAAGTTTTTATGCTAAAGTAGCAAATTAGCATTTCATATCAAAGGAACACAGACATGAATAAATTGAAGATGCTTGAGCCAAACCCACTGATGCCTATCTCGATGTAGAACAAAAAGTGGCTAAGTACAGTCAACTTTTTATAACTCTTTGCCACTCAGAGTAGTATCTGAACATATCCAATTAATATTTTGCAGAAGAAAGCTTTATTCCAAGTGAAAAATATTTAATCTGCCTCAGAACCTGTGCCACCAGCTATTACATTTTGTTTCTGGAGGGTGTCGGGGGGATGTGAGAATAGTGGAGCAGAAGAACATAGAGAGACTGTCAAGACAGGACCTCTAGAATTGGAGCATTGTATACAGGAATACTTGAAGAGTTGATACAACTTATTGTAGTTTGCTTATGTCTTTCACTCTCTGGAACATCTTTTACAGATATACCAGTATACTGCTGGCAGCTATTGTTAAAAATAAAATTATATTTTCACTACCAAGCAGATCTTTCTGTGATTTCTAAAGGCTCCAGTTTGTGTATGTGTAAGCTATGAGTAGCATAGAGTGTGCTGAAGTATAGAATGACACTTTATAGTAATTATATTTTCAATTTTTGGCTTCCTTTTTTCTACCAGAGGCATGTGACTCGAGGCAGAACATGTGCCATTTGTTATGTTATAATGGGTTTATATAATGCTCCTTAACAGAAGGGAATAGAATGAGCCGGGAAATTCTCCTACAGAAACTCTGAATTTTCTTTTTTTTTCCAGATATGAAGTGGAAAGCTTGAGAGCTTATTTTGGTGGCTTGTTTTTGCTCTGAAATTCTAGATTCTCAAAGTTAAACTGGGTTCAAAGTTCTGCTATTTGAGAAGTGATTAAATATGTCAAGAGGAAAATCATATGTTTGCTTGGAGAAACACATTTATACCCAAATAGCCCAATAAAAATAGCCACTTCAAGAGCCAAGGTTGAATTGATGTTTCTAAAGCAACCGCGAGTGTCCATTTGCAGCGCTCGTTTTCCGAGCTCCGTTGTGGTCTTTTGCTTTCAAGTCCATCATGACCCGCCATGGCCAACCCTACCCCTGCATTTGGGTCGAGTGTGGGAACTCCCTACGAGGCCTTCGAGGTCACCAGCTGCCAGTCGGAGTTTTCTGCAAAATTTCCTGAGCGTTTCCACGTCAGCCTGTTCTGTGAGTGTGTGAGGTGCACCTGGGCTCTGATTTTTGTTTTCAAAAGGAGATTTGTGGAATGCAGAAGATGTTCCTGGTCCCTGCAGACCAGGATGCCTTCATCTCCGCCGCAGCACAGCCCTGCCTGGAGTAGGAGCCAGCACGTGGTAGGGGGACGTATCTGTAGCCCTGTGCGGTTCTGACCGTGGCGCTCGTGATCAGAACAGGGGTTTGCAGGAAGATTCGCAGTCACCTTGGTTGAGTTTGGTCACATTTGTCCTTGAAACGCAGCGCTATGGACCGTGGTGACACCCTGTTAATGTGAGGAGCAGACTGAGAGGGAGCAGAGCTACGGAGATGCTCTTCCTGCCCGGCAAGGGCAGCAGACTCGGGTATCGGGTATTTATTACATCTGTGTTTGACCACCTCATTATCCCTGTTCTCAGGGATAACCAAATAGTCTTGAACTTGAAACCTAAATCCAGGTTTCATAGCTCTGGTCTGTGTCTCTCCCTCCAAAACTGTTACCACGTTCTATAAGGAAAACTCCTTAGGGCGCTGTGTAGCTGCCATGATTTGGGATGTGGAGCCGGGTTATGGTGTGTGGCAGCCGGGAGCAGCCACGAGGAGGGAGAGCGATGGGGTCAGAACCGCGGCGACCGCTTTGGGCGGCCCCAAACGCTGTCAACAGGCTCCAGGCTGGACCCCGCTCCCATTTAAACGATCTTTTTCTTTCTATTTCCACTCCGACCTCTCGTAATTCAACCTTGTGATGTGCTGAGGGTTGTGTTAGTCTATGGTACCAAGCCGGGGAA